ATGCATCCTTTTAAGCTTGTTTACTGATCATCTCGGCACTTGACTCACGTATAAGCTCACGCAGCTTCAGTCCTGAATTTCCGAAAAGTTAAAACAATCGTCCTGAAACGCGACACCATTGGAATGAATCCTTTGGGTGTGCTGGGCTACGTCGTCCAATGGATTCTCTACGCAGTGCGTATCATGACACCTCTATGAGATTACAGCTGACGTGAATAGGGGCTCTACGGATATCAAGACTATTACCCTTTGCTTACGGCGCTGCGACACGTGCGCTCTCTTAAACCTCCGACCTCTGAAGACGGAACGGCAGGAATTCTAGGTCGAACGAGAAACACATCGTTTTGGCCGACGATATATCCCACCAAAGGATTGGGAACATGGCTTGTTGGCGTGGCTGCAGAATCCGCTCTCGAGCATTACCTGCGAATGCTTCTCCCATCCTTCCTTACGAAATGCTTTATAAAAATCATCATCGCACCTCTGAAGTTCCTGTGGATTCGATCGATCATGTCCGAGCTTCCGATACCTCTCAGCTCAAATATCAGACTTCTTCGTTGCGTCACAGCTAAGCAGTGGTTTCACTTCATCGGTACCTTGCTAGCTTGCAACGTTGTCGACGAGATACCAGACCTTGTCTGCAAGTTCGGCCTTCTCTTGCTGTTGGCAAAGGGTGTTGATGTCGTTGAGGAATGGTCAAAGGAAAACATCACAACAACTGGAAGGATAATTCTCAGTGTCTTCTTCGCGCTGCAGATAATACACGCCGTTATCAGTGTTCCACAGACGGTAGCGGGCGTCGAAGCCGCTCCTGATATAGATGAGACAGGAGAAGAGAGGAGTACACATGAACTATTGGTGGATATCAAGACATCGTTGAAAAGCATGAACTTTTCATTGTGGTTCCGATTCGGGGTCTATCATTGTATCACGTTTGTCATGGCTCGCATTGTATTTGCCATTGCATTTGCCGCTGGGGCACTGGGCAATATGGAAGTCAGTATTAGTTGGAAAGATCCCCTGTAGACTTAGAAACCGACGGTATATCCTCTTTCGCTTAATCTGCCTCTCATGCTACAGCCATGCATCTGACGAGTCAAGAGACTGTACATTTACCGCCTCCCTTCTTCACCTCCTCCATCAACGACTTAAACTCCAAATTATCTTCCCCACTCTCAAGGCGCTCGAGGTTCACCTCATGGTCAGGAAAGATAGATCCATACTTCTCATCCAACCACCCATAAGGCCAAATACAAAGCCCTTCCTCCTCTTTGACTTTCCTTCTCCAGTTCTTAACCTTGCCATCCTCATCAGTCGGCGGGACATAAACCTCATCACCATAGTAGTCCCCTTCATCTTCCGTAATAGGACGTTCCTTGGTCGGCACACATATGACCTCTGCAGGTGCTCTCAGAGCCTGCCGTGCAGCTTTAAACAGATCAGCCCACCTTGGTGCAGCGTCGCCATTGGGATCGGAACTAAACGCCACGCATTCCGTGATGCAGAGTCGGGACAGCGTGCCGTTTGTTGCTTTGAGGTAATCTGTAAGCACAGAGGTCACTGCTATACCATCCACGTGCAACGACCTCAACGAGGGCATGCAACCAGGAGGTATGTACAACGAGCCTTCGCCGCCCAGAAAGCCATCGTCGTGAGTCTTGAGTTTAAAGTATTCCAAGACATTTGCATGAGCCAGAACATTCGTCGGTAGTTCATTGAAGAAGGCGTGAAAGCCAGGTAACGTATTAGCCTGCCAACCAGCCCCATTGTCACCACCATACGTATTGAGCGTCAACTTCTTCAACCGGCCCAGAAACTCAGACCATTCTTTTTCCTGCCAGAACGAGGTTTTTCGAGGGAGAAAGTTCAAGATGGTAAACTCATCGACTGTTGAAAGCGTAGCGACGTCATGGTACATATCCCGCAAGGCTGCACGCCATGAATATCTCCCTTCCTTTCGCTCAACGTCTTCCCAACTTTCAGGCTCGCAGCAGAAGTAGATGTAGTTTTTGCCGATATCGTTGTTGTCCCAGTCCGCATCGAGCTCAAAGTCTTGTTCGCCATTGGTGTGTATCGTCAGGGCCTTGCAGCGTGGTAGGCCCTTGAATCGGATGAGATCCTGGATGATTGATGTGTCTGCTTCTTTTCGGGCCCAGACTGATGCGGGAGGATTTGACCAGTACCACCATCTGTCAGGATAATCGTCCTTGTCGCTCTCTTCTTCCTCCTCTCTTTTACCCTCCTTGCCGCTGTCGTCTGGTGTTTCAGGCTCTGGTCCAGACTCTTCGCCGTCGTTCCCTTCCTCATTCTCTGACATATCCTCATCCTCACTCTCATCCTCCTCTTCCTCCTCCTCATCCGCCGTCTCAGTCGATTCCTCCGGGTAGAAAGTAACATTCAACCTCAATTCCAGAATATTTACTCCATATTTGTCGACAATAGTTGGCACGATGTGATCCTCTACAAGCGGACAATTGACTCGCAGCACCTTGAAGAGACATGGCGCCATTGCGGTCCGAAGCCCGGAATTGGCCAGACTGAGGTTCTTTCGATCATCTGGCTCAAGATAATCCGAAATGCCGAATAGTACTTCAGGTGGTAGATTCTCAAAAAAGTGAGCGGACATTGTCGCCGTGGATTGAGCTTTGTGATTAGAGACTGATATTGAGAGATATTTTAACCTCGGTATTGCAAAGCGAAGCTGCCAAAACGAATTGGGGATGGCCACATTATAAGGTTGACAATTGTTGTCAGTGCTGCTGGTGAGAATAGTGACCTGAAATGGCGGGACTATGCCTGTAGTGGTCTAGAGTCAGCTTCTGTTGCCTGGGCTTTACTGGATTCAGCGTTTGCAGAATTCTTGGCAGTAGGTAGGTAGTACGGGTACTGATCCGCGGTTGCATACAGCACCAACGCCCTGTAGCCTGACTGCTGCTGAGAAGAATGATCTTTGCTCCTCCGATAAAGAGCAGCCAAGTTACAGGGCATTAGTGGGCACTAATCACTGGAGCTTCTTATCAACAGCACCTTGAGTATTGAGCCTCCCTACCTTAGCCTCCGCAGAAGGACATTTATTCTTCAGACGAAATAAAGTGAGACCCGACTGGTTACATCAAACCCCCTCCTCTACAGAGATACCTCTCCCATCCTTCTCCGTCCCATCAACAGGCCCCAAAAACATGATATCATGCAATATCTGCTTCCAAGCGCCATCCTCTTCCCGCCACCAATACTGAACCTTGACCAAAATCCCTCGTCCCTTATTATCCTCCGTCCACATATTAACTCTAAGCCCCTCCCACTTCTCAGTCTTCGCTTTGTCACGAACCTCCTCCAAAGACGCAAAACCAGCGGGAGCCAGTTCCCTGATCGTTGCGAAATCTTTTTTTTCGCTTGTAACGAGTGGCCGCATGGTGTAAAAGCTTTTCACTGAAGCTGGGTCCATTTCACTAATGTCCCATCCCGCTTCGCGGTAGATTCTCTGGAGGACATCGCCTGATTCGCGAAGGTAGCGGAGAATGGTGTCTCTGTCTTTTGCGGCGTAGGCTGGGCCTGTGCGACATATCTGACGGCATTCTGGTGAGAGAAAGAGGGACTTGGCGTCGATGGACTTTGTTTCACGATATTCGCGATAAAATTTGAAGAGTTCCTCCTCAAGAGGCGAATATTCGGGAGACGCCATTGTGATGTTCTGAAGTGCGGTGAATAATTCTGCTAGGAAATTTATTTCTGATGTTAAGCTCAATAGATATCGTTGTACGTGGTACCGGTTATTCATTTAGCCATTCTCTCAGCTTGTATTGAAGCCCGCTTATGGTTTTCATAAGCTGGAGGACCCAAGGAGAAAATACCCACGATACTGTGTCTTACTTGACGACAAGTCACCGAAAATATTACAAGGCTGCGCTGCTTTCTGGTGGCTGGGGCCATGCGCCATGCATTCGCTTGAAACATCCAAGCTCTGTTGTTAGCAGCATTGATCTAGATCTCAGCGTTAGATCAAGCTTGTGCGACATTGTTACTGCTGCGATAACCGAGCATCCTTGTCTCACCACCTGGGTGGCATAGTCAAGAGGTAACACGGGATACTCCAGCGGCAATCAGAGTTATTTGTATGCTTCACATTGCCGAGAAACTTAATTTTCTCTTCACCATTCCATTTCCTCGACACCGTACATGATGCCAGGCCATCAATTCTCACGGCACGCCAGTCTGTTTGTGCTCTTGCGAGGGAGATGCTATAACGACTCAAGAGGAGCCATTGGACTTTGCAGTATTGAAGTGCCTTGAATGGTCTTTTATTGGCGCTTGTCGATGGCACGGTCTCTTTTCCCGACGAAAGGCTATCTTGGCCTTGAAAAAGTGCAACTCATCACTGGCCAGATACGTACTCTATCGCCTTGGCAGATTGGGTAACACGAATGGCAGCTTGCCTTGAAGTACCCATATACGGACTCCACTGTACTGCATATAGCCGGAGACTCTGCCTTATCGCAAAATATTAGATCTTGGGGTTTGGCAAGCATGGGACCAGCAAGCATACCAAGAGATTGGCGAGGACATCTTCAACAAAACACAGAAATACCATTTCTATATGTTCTGCCGGTAATCTCTGTGTGAGTGTTCTCTGGCAGGTGTATTCTGGCACTCAAATGCTTGAGAAAAGAGATAACAAGGTATATGCACTTCTGCAAGCCACTTCATGTTTGCCCAGAAAAACTTGAGCGTCATTGGCCATCTCTTGGAAACTGTGTAACACGACAAACGACTAACCACAATTTTATGACGCCTCAACTTCAGAAAGTGTTTGTAGATGCATAAACGCGGGAACAGACATTTTCAATCAGAAAGTGGTTGTTTATTTTGCTCGTTCCCCTCTTTCTTTTTACTCTCTCCATCGTCTCTGCCATCTTCAACATCGTCTTCCACTACCAACGCTTCCTTTTCTAGATATCTCTACTACAAACCTCTTCCTCTTGTCTTTTACACATACAGACATCATGGATAGCGATCGTCGTTCCCAGCTTGAATCTTGCTCCAGCATACTAGCCGCTGTCAAGCTCATCGAGGAGAGAGCCATAGAATTTCACAGGCAACTGTTGGTTTACCAAGTCCTAAGTCTAAAAGACGACCAGCTAGATCTCGACAACCGAATCAGAGACCTGGGTGCCGAGATGCGCGAACTTCAAGAGAATAATCGAGACATTACTAGCCATGCCAATGAGGCCAAAAGGTTAGGACAGAAGCTGAAACAAACCACCCGCGATATCTCCAGGAAAGCGCGTGAGGAACCAGTAACACTTGAGGATATCGAGCCATATGTTCAAGAGTTCACCGAAAAGACTCATGTAGCCATGGGGGCCATGCTTGCATATCACGACAGACTCATGGCACAAGCTGGAGCGAACCTGCCACCTACTCCGGCTACCGACTTGGGCGATGATAGTGACAACGACGCGCCACTCGATACACCTGATTCTTCCCCTCCCTCTCCTCATCCTACCCTCCGGAGCCCTCCCACGAGTAGCCGGACTTCCCCAGACGCAGGAGCCCCCTCATTTCCCAATCATCTTGCACGTTGCCGTGAGATCACGGCCACAGAGATAGGTGGGTTCTCTGGTCAGAAGATCACCGAGACGCCAGCTGGAAGCGCCGAGTGGTACGTGTTCCAGTGTGAAGAGCACAGCTTGCGCTTTGATGGCCTTCCGCGACCGGCGCAGGCTGCCGCAAGGCATGCTATAACGCATCGGCTCCCACCTACTCGTCCATCTGCCATTGAAGCCTTTGGCATCAAGATCGTTGGTTGTGACGCTGCAATTGCAAAGGCACATAACGATTGGGTCGTCGTGCAAGCTAAGCGAGAGGCTGGCCTTCAAGCAAACCGAGGCACTGACGGCAGTGCTTATCGTCCTCAGCGTGAACGACACAACGACGAGATGGCATCACTTCTTGGTGACATTAATCCCTCTCACCCACGGCATTTTCCGGTCCGACAAGCAGCAGCAACGAGAAAGCGCACAATCCTCACCCGTGAGCTAGACGGCACTGAAAGGCCCTTTGAGATTACTGCCAAGGCTATCTACTGGATCAAGTGGCCAGACGATGGCATCTGCTATCCAGCCTACGTTCTTCCTTGGGAATCCTTCCCGCGATTTCGGAGCAAGTACCTCGCACCAGTTGACCGTGGACTTTTGGAGACGTTAGATGAGTTGCCAGCCTGCTATGACAGAGCCTATGGACTCGCTGGTGTTTGGGCAGAGGGATACAAAGATGGCCAACGAAAGATGAACAAGCGTGTATACCCCGTCATCTTCTTTACTCTTAGGAAGAGGTTTCCGTGGGAGTGTGAGACGGCATGGGCTGCGGAGAAGGACTTTCGTGTTTTTGATGGTGATAAGGAAGATCCTCAGTTCAAGGCGTTGGTTGATCATTGGAAAGCGAGGGAGAATCGCCAGACTCCGGATGATGAGTTGATCAGAATGAGTAAGTTGACCATCTTATATCTCTTCTGGTTTTCAGTTACTGACAGTGATATCAGAATTGATGTCGCCGCCAGGCGATCAGACATCATCAGACGGCTCAAGCAGCGTTGGGGAATTAAGTCCAGAAATGTCACATGAGAACGGAAACATCGACGACGAACTCCGAAATTCTTTTGTGGAGTTGAATGAACGCTTGGATAGCAATCGAGGGTCGAGGCGAGCAGAGTCACCCAACAGTGATGACAGCGCTGGCGATATCGGAGATGCTTTGGTCCGCGACGCCATGGAATCTCAATCAAGGCATACCAGCGCTCATCTGTCTCAGCACATGCCGCAGCGCCAAGGCAGCGAGACGTATCGTCGCGGTAGCAGGTCTATGTCACGAGACAATGGCCCTCCCACTGGCCGACTCTACCCAGATGAAGACGAGGATTCAGATATCTATGGTGACGATAACGTTGGGCCGTTCAACAGTAGAAATTCCAGCGAGGAGTCTAACGCCGTATCCAGCAGACACAACCTTGGAGAATCTCCCGTGAGGTCTTGGGAGCTCTCTGATCTCATCAATGGAAGGACAACGATTCCCCCTTCAGACGACGAGGAGTCTCTGCAGGAGAATGAGAGTCATTGTGAGATGAATTTTCCTTCCTTGGAGGTTTCTTCAGGCCAGAGGGCTGATTCCATTGTGAGCGACGAGGACGTTATGCAAGTTGATGAGCCTTCCACCTCGATGGAAAGAGTCAGTTCCTCTGAACAGCGGTTAAGACAGGCGATGGCTAGTGCTGCTCGCCAGACAAATGCTGTCTGGCGTGAAACCTTTCGCGAGCACTCTGAGGAGGTCGACGAGTTGTTATAGGCGAGTTGCATGTGTCCGTGTATCTAGCTAGCTTTGTCTCATTCTTCTTCTGTCTATGTTCTCACATTGTCTCTGCATCTGCCTTCCATATTTTTAATTTCCACTCTGGAGTCTTTTGATATCTTTCAACCCCCCTCGCATCTGGCTTACCTCGTGGGTCTCGTCAACCCAGCCTGTCTTTACCAATAAGGCTTTCAACGACCTTTTTCACCAACATCTCCAATTATCCGATCATTAGAATCATCAGATGTTAGGTCTCGGCGTCAATGAAGTATTTATCCTCTTATCTCATTGTTCCTATAAGACGTCGCTTGTTCTCCATCACTTTTGTAATCTGATACGAGGACCTAGCATGGCATGACTGAAAACAGGGTTTTGAGACTTGTGACACAGTTTTGGGCTAACATTATGCTTAATTTAAAGACCTTGCAGTGATCAATTTAGCCAAAAGCAAAATGCAAGCTACGGGCGCTGATGCAGACAAACCTTGGCTACGGTCTTGACAACTTCCTCTTGAAGACTTAGACCATATTCCTACCGCTTATCATTTGACTGAAACCTTCGAATCAACGTTACAATCACCTTCTTTAGTGTCTTGGCTTGCCAAAAGGTCCTTCGTCGATCCTCTTGGTCCTTGTCAGCGTAACACTGAATTGGCGTCAACGCCTTGGCCTATGGCGTGCTCTACCAGTCTGGAAGGTCATTAGCGTCACGCAATCGACATGGAACCGGGGGCGAAGGGATCGACATACTCGTATCTTGAAATATCCCGATAGCTATCAACCAGAGGAATTGTTTAAAGATGTGAGGTTGCACTGGTAGACTGGCTTGCTCGCACTAGAGTCTTGCCATCTTGATAATTGTCTCCATTGTTGTCCCACCATGGGTTTTTCTTTATCGAAATGGCGTCCTCGGCCAGAGGCAAAACCAGCTGTTATCGATGTCGATCAGAACTATACATCTGACAGCTCAGATCCTGCGCTTCTTCGCGATGGCAACCTTGCTTTCACGCGTGTGCAGGGCGGAAATGACGCTAAGGCTTCGTATCAAGAGGCTATCGGCGCGCCCGTGGAGACAAACTCACCTCTGGGTTATCATGTTGGATGGTTGACTATCATTTTCTTGAACGTCAACCAGATGATTGGTACTGGTATCTTTTCGACGCGTACGTACCATTGCTTCGTTTATCGAGTGGTCATCAGTATACTAACGCTGCTATAGCTGGAAGTATCCTCAACTCAACAGGATCAATAGGCCTCGCTTTGATCTACTGGTTCATCGGCTTCATCATGGCCATTGCCGGATTCTGTGTGTATCTTGAGTTTGCCAGTTATTTCCCAAGTCGATCCGGAGCCGAAGTCGTCTACCTCGAACAAGCATACCCCCGTCCAAAGCATTTCTTTCCCATTGCGTATGCAGTGCAATCAGTTGTCTTGTCCTTCAGCAGCAGCAATGCTATCGGTTAGTTGACAGTAGTGTTCTGGGTTGCCAGTTACTAACTGGTTGTGTAGTACTGTCTCGATATCTCTGGAGAATCGCTGGGAAGACGCCCAGTGACTGGGAAATGAAGGGTGTTGCCATCGCTGCGTACACACTAGCTGTGATTTGTGAGTAGCCTGAAGGCCCAAAAGCAAGGGTCGACTAATATAGATGCAGGTGTGATCGCTCACAACAAATATTCCCTTTGGGCTGTCAACATCTTGGGCTTCCTCAAGATCATCACCCTCATCTTGTCAGTTCACCACCTCGTCAATCTTCTCACTCTAACCTTTTCAGCATATCAGTCACGGGCTTCGTAGTTCTCGGTGGCAATGTTTCTAGAATCCCAGATCCAAATGCCAACTTCCGCAACGCCTTCGAGGGCACAACCAACAACGGCAACGACCTTTCAACTGCCTTGGTCAATATCGTCTTCTCGTACACTGGCTATGCCAACGCCTTCAACGTAGTCAATGAAGTCAAGAGACCGATCCCTACGATCAAGAAGTACGGTTTCATCTCTGTACTTCTCGTTGCTGTCCTATACATGCTGTGCAACGTCGCGTATTTCTCTGCTGGTAAACTTCATCGCGCTATGAGCTTCGCGGGCTGATATACTGATGCGAGCTTTTAGTCCCCAAGGAAGAGTTTGCAGAGTCGAATGAGATCGCCGCATCGGTCTTCTTCACCAGTGTCTTTGGTACCAGTGGTGCTGTGACAGCGTTGAATGTTCTTGTACTGCTCAGTGCATACGGTAACCTTCTTGCAACACTGATTGGTGCTTCAAGATTGATTCGTGAGATCGGACGGTTGGTCGCCATATCCCCGTAACTTCTCTTTGTATACTGACTCGACATACAGCCAAGGAGTCTTGCCTTTCACTACATTCTGGGTATCAACAAAGCCCTTTGGAACACCCATCGGACCCTATCTATTGAAGTGGGCCATGACGTTCATTATGATCGTAGCCCCTCCTGCTGGTGATGCATTCCAATTTGGTGAGACTTTCATATCACAAGCTTCTGCTGTCCGTCCTGCTGATTTTGAGCCAGTCGTGAGTCTCAAGACATACCCCGAAGGCCTTTTCTTCCTAGCCATGAGTATTGGCCTCTACATCGTCCGACGTCACAACAAGCGCGTTGGACGAGGACCTCCGGAGTTCAAGGCCTGGGATGTCGCAGCCATATTCTTCATTCTCATCCAGATCTTCATCATCATCATGCCATGGTACCCTCCCAAGGGCGGCCCGTACGCTGGCGACGTGAGTTTCTGGTATGCAACTTACTGCGTAGTCGGCATCGCAATGTAAGTTTTCCTCCCTTATTACCAACGATTGGACCCCAAACTGATCGTGCAACCTTTCCAGCATGATTCTTTGTGGTGCGTACTACGTCTTCTGGATCTATATCATTCCCAAATGGAAGGGCTATGCAATTCGGCCTGAAGTTCTCGAAGTTGACACAAATGGCGCCAACACGCATCGCTTAGTCAGGGTGCCTCTTGTTGAGATTGAGAAATGGGACGCAGAGCATGACGAGGCTGGGAATTTGAGGCAACGTCACGTTGGTGATGGACCAGTACAGACAGGCGAGGTACTTGATCACAAAGAGATTTGACGTGTGCAACAGACTTGGTTTGCCTGAAACAGATGGTCTTCCTTGTATAATGATGATATAGGCAGTACTAATCCGAGTACCCACAAGCGTTTGGCTTCTTTTCTTTGATCGTTCGATTAATGGTCATCGTGAAAGCTTCTGGGTAAAAGCTTATATTGAGACAAAAAATACCGTGTTCTTATTTGTTACCTGTGTTTGCAGCCTAAAGGTTAACCTTATAGGTCGCATTCATCCCCATAGTTGATCGTTTGATGTTGACGAAACATGGAAGATACAAACATCTTAACCAACCAGTACAAATAACAGGCATAAACAGCCATTCCATATGATCCCAGCTCCTGCACAATCCGCCACCGGTCATTTCCCTTCCCAGCCTTCCCAGCGAAAGTTTGCGCAATCTGGACCATGACTTCAGAATAACAAGCAAAGCCTTCGTATTGAACTGGATCAGCAGGGCAAAAGAGCATCCTCAAAGGAGAGGCGAAAGTGGCGACACTCGATGAAACTGGTAGGCTCAAGTGGTAGGATGGGAAAGGTTGCAGAGACAGCACCTTCAAAGGGATGACAGAGTCGGCAGGGGAGAGGAGAAGCCGGTGAGGCGGAAATCTCAAAGGTCAGGCGAAGCCAATGAAAGCGCCAGCAAAGGAGAGAAGCCTGTCGAAAGCTGACTAGCTTCGAGTTATAGCAGGGAGGCGCCGAAGGGAAGTCAAAGTCGACGTCGGTAGGCGAATTTGGCACGAGAAGGGCACTGGAAGCACCTTCAGCATGCAACTTTTAGCGACTGTTCAAAGTAGCAAGGTGGATCTGGTGAAAGTCTGGGAGGTCCAAAAAAGCCGCTCAAGACGGCGATGACGAGAGACGACGGCCGATCCAGCCAATGCGGCGGCGGGAGGTTGGAGGCGGGGATTGGGGAGATGGAGGAGATGGGGAGGAGGACAAAGACGAGAGGAGGACGAAGTTGTGCCTCAAGCTCTGCCTTGGTCGCCGTCCGTCCTGGAAGGACCCCCATCTCTGGGGCAAAGTACACTTCCAGGAGGGCAAGCAAGTCGTCGAGTCGAGGCATCTTGGGAGGCATGGCGGCGGCGGCAGCGGCGGCGATGCAAAGGGAGATGATGCTTGAAGAAAAAAAAAAGAAATCTGGACGGGAAGCCTGGGAAATTGAGAGGGCATCCATTGCGGAATCCCAGTGAGGAAGGAGCAGGCCATTCTATGAGGCGGCGAGGAAGCGATGTCGTCTGTTGAGGAAGGCATGCCTGCGTTGGGAAGGAGCCAGTACCTAGTTACCTCAATGAGACAATCTCTTGGTTGAGACGACACGATCACTCAAGAGGAAAAGAATTGGGATGGTTCACATTGTAAAATAGCAAATTGGAGATAGCGAAACTAATTGCTGATGCGAATAGAGATTTCCCACGCGTCGTCTCAAATTTGTCTGTCAATAGGGGTAAATGCTGTCTGCGCTGGACCATCACCAAACGTGACACTGCCTCAGGTTCCCAGTTTCGTCAGGCTCTGTATCCAAGTTCTCAATCCCAACAGAAATGGAACCCTTGGCCAAGCGATGCGTACCTAAGTACCTCTCGTCGCCGGTTGTATCGACTTCGAGAACTTCCGGCCGAGTTGCATAATGCGTCCATTTGTGAATGATGTAAACCCGATAGATGTAGTGGATACTGCAAATAATTATGCTGGAAAACCGGAATCTTTACCTGGTAGATAAGAGTATAACCAGAAGAGAGGAAACGTGTAGTGCAATGCCGACTATGCAGTACGATGCGGAGCAATCCTTAGTGTATCGACTGCCCACAGGAGGGTACCGCGGAATGAGACTGATGAAGATCTGGATGAGAGCGTAGAACTCTGGAGTCCCCTTCCAACGTGATTGTTGTGACGTCGATCGACGTAGAGGTCAATACTCGCGGCCAAGGAGAAAAGGCATTCAGTCATTTAGTAGAGGCCTTGCCACTGACGACCAGTTCAACGTACAGAAATCGCACGAGACAATTGTTTATTTTAATAGACTTGCTAAGCTGAAACGCATCAACAACAAGAGGTGCTATAATCATTGTGAATGCCATGGCTGTTTCGAAAAGCTTTGTTAATACCTATAAGGGAGTGAAGAGCAAGGCTCCTTGGCTATATATCGAGTCCGGAAACGATGAGAAGCATGAGAGAATCCGACAGGCCATCTAAGTCTCTTAAACCAATCTAAAATCCTAGAAATCGCAAGACTATTATAATATATACCTTAGGTAAAGGACTGTCTCTAGTTCTATAGACTTTAGAAGGTCCTCTTAATTAGGCGCGTGAATGCAATATAGGGGAACCTGTTATTCTTATAGACTGTTATTTCGCTTAAGAGGACAATTATTATTTACTGAGGTAGGTTAATATCGCCGATACTACCTTTAACAGATTGTTTAAAAGCCTTTCAGGCAATCCCTCTACTTACACTAATGAGATATAGGGTTATTCTGAGGTACCCTAGATCCTCCTCTTTACTATTAAGCAATACTGCTTACATTCAATCTTTTTACTACTATAAGACCTTGTAACTGCCATGGTGATCTGAATGAGCAGAAAAACTCGGAACAGCCGTATTAAACCTAGCGCAAGTGCCTCTTCACCACATCGGGTTTGGGATGTTCCAATGTCGAGTACAATGAAGGTCTCAGAGTCCAACTCGGTTCTCGGACACTCTTGCTCATCATGAACCTACACAAACACATCGGAATCAAGTAAGGCCACGCCCAGTAGAAAGAAGCTCAAGATCGATAGCGCAGGACGCTCTGAAACACGTAACCTTGATGATAAGCTCAACAATTTGCTTAGCAATATGGCACTTTCTCCCTACTCCAGGCCAAGCTCACTATTGGTCACTCGCCTCCAGATAAACCCAGTCACCACCACCGCAACAATTAATGATAGATGATCCTGAACACCTTTCTTTGATTCATAATGGCTATACAAACGCTGTTGTTAAATGTTCTTCCCTTGAGACACAGAAGTGATGACAGTGATAGGGCTGGCCAAAGAAGCTTGACTTTAAGACGAGGAGCACTAGTGTACTTACCGTAATCTATTACGAACTAGGAGCTTCGGAAGCAAAGTAACTGGATGCTGGCTGGACAGAGATGGGTAAAGACGGAGAGGCGTGTCTGTTAGGCTGCCTGGATAGCGACATCCTTTCAAATGTTATTGGCTCCATGGCCAGCTTCCAACACTGTTGAACACACTTAACATGGAATCTAAAAGGACGTTCTGGATAAGTCAACTGAAGAGACGTATATTTGATCATTTCTTTCAATGAGCTGAGAGCCGCAATACATCCATCATCAGAGGCCTTTTTTAACGCCACAGATGAAGCAACTGATAATCTCACGAAATTCTCCTGTTGCTTCTACCTATCATCTTGAATTCCAGTGCTGCTTTGGCGGCACCAAGCAGCTCGATGGGAGGTTAAAGGCCAGCTCCTGGCGTTGTTGCAGAAATGCTAGCAAGTTAACAGATAGGATTTTCAGAGAGTAGTGAAAAACAGATAGAAGTGCTTGCAAAAGGTATTTTATAGTGTTGCTATAAAAATATAATTAATAGTAAAGACAAAGAGATTATTAAAATCTTTATTATAGTAGTTAATATTTAATAGAGATAATGGCTGCTGAGTTGCAGGTAATTAATTGAGAAGGTCGACAGGACAGCTCCTTCCTTAAACAGATTTTCCCAGCCTGCTTAATAACCATCAAACAAGCCCTTGTGGCCTAATGGCTAAGGCGTCTGACTTCTAAGTGTAGTCTTCACATGTGGAGATTATGCAAAGTTGCTCATCAGAAGATTCGTGGTTCGAGTCCGCGCTGGGGTTCTTCTTTTTGACTTTTGGAACTGTATAAAGTGATCAGAATCGGTTTGGCTTTCAAATGAACTTTTTTTGAACTGTTTTGGACTTGAAATGGTGGAGTTGTGGCCGATAAGGTGTTTGCTGTCGCGATGTTGGGCGTCGGCCAAGTCACGTGGCTGCAACAATCTCCATCTACGATGATGACGTTTCGATCCAGCGACTTTAACGCAACAACTGTTCCCTACTTTAAACTTATTTAAACTAGTCAACTAGCTCAATTACCTACTTATCTTTCAATAGTCTTTCATACCAACACTATCTGTGTCCAGATTAAGATGAAAACTAGGAGCGGGACCGAGACTCACGAGGATAACGCCACCGCGCGCGGTCACAAGAGACAGTCAAGCAAGACGGACTCTGCGCTGGAGCCAAGACCAAACAGACCGAGACGAGTGAAGCTCGCCCTTCGACGCCAGATGGGCAGAAACCCACACTCACAGAGAAGGACCTCGAGTTCGACTTCGACCACTCTCAGGTCCGGGACCCGCGAGAAACGCCGGGTCGCGTCGAGCGTCCCCGGTATGAGGAGCGCGAACTAAGTGAGGAGTTCCTATCCAAGTTCCACATCCCCAAGCATAGAAACAAACATACGGACCCGTTGTATTCATTCTACGATCTGCATCGATGTCACCGCAAGGGTCCAGATGGGTCTCCGACGTACGATAGCGCGGGCTTTCAACTCGACTATGAGAAAGTTGCCAAGTGGATGAAGCCAGTGGCTTACAGCAAGAAATCCATGGTCAATGGCATGGAGCGCCATTTGAAGAGAGTCGAAGAGGAGACCAAGAAAATCTACGACAGCTTCTTTGTCGATGGGAAGGGTCCCGAGGGTGAAGAGGGCAGTATTCAGGTCATGGATCAGATTAAGGATCAGGTCTCCAAGGATCTCGGGGTCCCCTGGCACCAGATCGACCCGAAGCAGCTGAAGAAATGGGAAGATCAGGGGTTCGCCAAGGTGGACGCGGATAATTGGTGGCATCGGCAAAATCAAGTTGAGCGCGATCGCTTCATGAAGATGCTAGGCAGGGTTCACTCCGGAAGGATCTGTAGCCGTGGAGTGGATTCAGATCCTAGAGTGTCTTATCTCTCGCAGAGTGAATTAGTACTGCAATTCCAGTATAGCTTTGTTTACCATTCCTCCACTCGGGGTCACGGAGTGCCTCCTAGTAAAGGATCTCGTAAACTAGGTATCTCGATCTTTGACTAAAGGTGCAACCACTACACAGTAATATGGATTTTGACATGCGAATCCTCGGCTCCGTTTAAGTGGGTCGGACTAAACTGTCATTCCCAAGCCATGTTAGCGCTGACTCCGGGGCCCTGGATCGCATCGCCTCGAGAGCAAAAGGCCCTACGAGTCTCCCTTGCATGACATTCCCCACATCAAAAGGGCGCCACTTCTACACGCCCTTCTGACGTTTTACATGGTGCTTATGCTTATGTCTCATAGATAAAATACAACGACGAATTTGGAGTTTTGAGTATCACGTCGAAAAGATATATCACATTTTTTGAACTGCCGAGAAACAAGATGGCCACTCAGACAGAGACGCTGCTCGAGGATATGCTGCCCTCGACTGCCGATGCACAGAGTTACGTGGACTCTCCACTCAACACCGTCGCCAACAGCACCCCAGCAGCATCTCGTCTACAGAAAATAGCAGTGACATTCCAACTGTCCGGCGTCAACTTTGCAGCCAGCGCTACAAACGGCCTCATCGTCGTGGGTCTGCCCCAGATGACCGCCGACCTCTCCCTCCCCCCGTCCCTCGCCTTCTGGCCCTCCTCCGTGCAGGGCCTCGCGACGGCCTCGACGCTGCTGCTCGCGGGTGCCCTCGCAGACGTGCTAGGCGCCAGGTCCGTCGATCTGCTCGGGTGCGTCCTCAGCGGCGCGCTGATGCTGGCCTGCGGATTCGTCCGCGCGGGCGAGCAGCTAGTTGCGCTAAGGGCCCTACAGGGCGTTGCGCTCGCGCTGCATCTCTCGAGCTCTGTGGCGCTCGTGACGAAGACGCTGGCGCGGGGACGGGGTAGGAATTTCGCGTTTGCGTGTCTGGGGTTGAGCCAGCCGCTTGGCTTCTCGTTTGGGCTCGTCCTTGGCGGAGTGCTCGTCGAGACTATTGGCTGGAGATCAGGTTGGTTTCTCTACGGTGGCATCAATCTTGTATTGTCCGCGGTGGGTTTCTGGTCTTTGCCAAAGTCCGACCCGCTTGGAACGTTGCAGGAGGTAATGCAGAGCGTTGTGACAAAGATTGATTGGCTCGGCACTCTTCTCGCTTCAGCTTTCATGGCACTGATGTCATACTTTCTAGCGTACGCCACCGTCTCCCGTGTCTTAATTCAACGGCGCGGCATAACTGACACTTCATAGCATCATCAGCACAGACGTGTACCGCGTCAAAGAGGCAAGCAGTATCGTTCTTCTCAGCTTGAGCCTCGCTGCACTGCCGCTCTTTGTCGGCTGGATGCATCTTCAGGTGAAAAGAGGTCTACCGGCCTTGATACCGAATGCGTTCTGGCGGAACCACTCTTTCACCACGATCTGCGTGACCATAGCCTTATCCAACGCTGTCATAAACTCGCTAGAGCTATTTGCGAGTCTGTTGTAAGTGTTAAACCCGAATGACAGCTCGCAATGTCCCCCACGTTGTTAATCTTGGCCTAGCTTCCAAGAGGTGCAGCACCTATCAGCTCTCAATGCAGCTATTCGCATCCTACCTAGCGTCGTGGTGGGTGTGGCCCTCAACTTCACAACAGGTCTGGTTGTCCACAGGATCCCTGCTGTATGGCTCGTTGTTATCACATCTGTCCTCACAGCAATCTCGCCTCTGCTCATGGCAGTCATCGACCCTGCGTGGACGTATTGGACAGCTGCATTCTTCGCACAGGTGCTCATGCCCTTCTCAGTAGACGTGCTCTTCACAGTGGGTCTGATAGTCGTGACTGAAACGTTCTCCGAAGATAAACAGGCGGTGGCTGGGTCAGTGTTCAACGCAGCGTCCCAGTTTGGAAATGCCATGGGTTTAGCCGTGATGCAGGTTATTTCGACCCTTGTCAGCAAGCAACATGCAGGATCGAAGCCAGCTGAGGCTCTTCTCCAGGGCTACAAGGCAAGTTTCTGGACCATGTTCTCATTCATGGTTCTCTGTGCTCTCATTGGAGGCGTCGGGCTACGTAAGGCCGGCAAAGTCGGTCTGAAGCAGGAGTAAAAAGGGGGCGCGGGACAGCTACAGAAGTTGAGGGCGACGATCTCCCTAGAGACAGGAAAGTGGAATTTGGTGACATCTCGATATAATTCTATTGAATGACGGGAGATGGTCCTTGTTCCGTCGTAAGTTGGGGCGGGCTCGCAAACTTAGTCGGCTCCCAATCAAGTTATTGCGTCCGACATGGGTCCTTGGCGTTAGGTACAGCTTTCAGAATACTAGCAGTGTCGATCCCACGGGAACGTGTCTTGGAGTTCAGCTGCTACGGAAATACCTACTCGACGATCCCTGGAGAGAAATGCTAATCCCTAAGATTCATTTCCTGAATAATTCCACGATCAGCCCTATCTCATACCTGTTTCATTGTTGGTGGTGTGCTGTGAAAAAGGTTTCAAGGAGGCCGTGCCGGAAGTTCCTCACGGAAGTTCCGTTGACCCCCGATGGGGTCAACTAAATGTGCCGCCGGGTAGTTAATATCCAGATGGATCCGCTGCGGCTCTTGCTCCGACTCTAAGGGCCTAGACCGTCTACAGCATCGACGCGCTAGTTCGTGTAAGGGAACGATCTTAGGGGCGTAAACGCGCGTTCTGTAAGTGGCTTGATCTGGTGGCAGATTCATTTGGTCGGCAATTCCAATATCCCGACCAGGTTCGGGGTCCCAAAGTCTCAGGTACGGTTTAACCGTCAATTTATTGGCAATCAAATTAATTTGCGAGACATTGTCTGTGACTACCTGAGACATTTCCGTCCGACGTTGTGCTTGACGCATTATGAGATCAGAAGAATGCCATTATGACTTGGATATGGTATTATCTAGAATTCCATCCATCATCAGTGATCATGCACCTCGTTTAGTGGACGGCCTTGGGGGCCGCCAGGGCCGTTTGGTGAAGCGAACGCGCAGCAAACGCCAAACTGACATTCCACGCCACGCCTTGTGACATCCCATCTCATCCCATTTCTTGATCTAATTAAAGTCAATCGCTATTGATCGTCCCAATACAGAAGGGGAACGATACTCGGCCCTAGACAAGCTGAGATCCCTGCCGTGTATCAGTCAATAGGATCGATAACCGTCATGATCTCGCAGTGTCCAGCGACCAAGAATCTGAATCGCTAATCTCACATGCATGGTTGACACCTCTAGTTATCCAAGATCCAAGCGTGTCGAGCTACAGCCAGGATCAGGATCTTATCTTGATTGCCCAGAGCCGCAGTCGCAGGGTGAGGTGAGGTTACTTTGAGATGTGAATCGGGACTGGTTTGCGAGTCATTCATCCAAGCGAAACGTTTGCGCCCCGCGGAGATGCTGCGGGCCTATGGCTTGGCCCTTAGGAACTGCCTGAGAAGCGGAAACTCGAGAGACAGACAAAAGACATGTGGACGCACACTAGAGCTGAACGGACAGCGCCACGGATGAGCACCCTGACCCCAGTGCCGGGCAAATCGGAGCCAGCCGTTGAGGGTTTAGTTTGCTGATTGCTGATTACACCACCCGCCAAATCTCGGTGTTATCCCTTTCAGCTCCATTGTGGCACTCTCTAGCGCTGAAGCTTGTTTTCCCTGGCATGAGCATGAGCCTGAGCCTGAGCCTGAGCCTTGAGGCACAGCCCAAACAGAAGAAGCGGCGGAGGCTCCCTGGATCTTGTCTTGGCCTGGCTTGACCTGGTCTACCCTGGCTGCTGGATAAGGTGCTTTAGCATACCTACCGTTCGTCGGTACCTAAACTAAATGACTTGGAGGGTAGCGTGAACCGATCAA